ACAGGCCCAGAGCCAGTCTATACACACACTGCACTGACACTGACACAGGCCCAGAGCCAGTCTGTACACACACTGCACTGACAGGCCCAGAGCCAGTCTGTACACACACTGCACTGGACTGATACAGGCCCAGAGCCAGTCTATACACACACTGCACTGGACTGACATAGGCCCAGAGCCAGTCTATACACACACTGACACAGGCCCAGAGCCAGTCTATACACACACTGACATAGGCCCAGAGCCAGTCTATACACACATGAAGGACCACTTTTAATCACACATTGCCATGTTGTACCTGTGAGGTCACAAGAAGTTTAATAACCAAAGCTTTATTTAAAAATAAAGATAATTGATTCTGTGAAAATATACGAAAATCTCTTTAAAATGTTTTGAAAATGGAATCTCTGTAAACTTTCGCGAAAGCTGCTGAGCACAGAGAAGTAAACCGTTGTGTGGGAAATTTCTCAGCTCTCTCCCACTAGAGGGGCTGTTATCAGTCAGGAGTTAAGATGGCTGAATCGCAGTTAATCACAACCTTTCAGTCAGGTAAACCAGCAGGAGATCAGCAGCAGAAAACGAAGGGCCTAAGTGTCATTGTCCTGCTCAGTGGAAACCCAGCTCTGCGGCTGTATAATTAATTTGTTCCTTCCCTGTCAACGGGCCTTGACCTCTCAGTGGTGTGTAATTTATTTGTTCTGCACATCAGAAGAGCCCCTTCTTGCTGATGAGCTGTTTGTTCTCTCTCTTGGCTCAGGGCTGCATCAGCCTTAGGGATGACTCTTCCTGTCGACAATCACTGCCGCCTGCTGTCACAGAAAGCATCCTTGTCAGTGACTTATCGTTTCTATCCTGGGCCCAGCCTGTCTGGAACAAACACATTTCCCATCCCCTCTGCAATTCCGTGACCCTGAAGCACAACACGTACTGGAAGTATCCTTCATCAGGAAATCAGCAGTAAGGAATGTCTGGGTCAGTTCAATCCAAGAATAGTTACCACCGACACACACACGTCGCACACACTCGGTCACGTTCAAAATGTTTGGAAAGAGCTGAAGATGAATATTTTACAGGCCAGCAGGGAGAGTGAGTAAAGGTCAAGATCGGTGCAGGGGACAGGTAAGCCACAGATCAGGAGAGTAGACAGAGGTCATGTGATGGGGACAGGGAGATCACATGACTGTAGACAGCTCGTGCACACCCAGGTCACATGACAGGGGACAGGGGTAGAGTAAGGTCCACAGGTGGTTGGGGCTTCAGGGAGGCCAGGTGTGATTGAGAGGTAGTGTGGGCCAGTGATGTAAGAATGTGTCTTTCACCTGAATGGAGAGCAAAACAGAAAAACATTAGTTTCATTTGCCCACTGACACATCTTTCCCTTCAGCATGCTACATCCCTGGACTGCTGGAACAACACTGGCAGAGGAAGGAGAGTGAGGAGCTGCACCTGTCTGTCAGGAAGTGCCCCAGAACTGTCAGGACACACTTTCTAAACTTCAAAGCCCCCGACTGGGTTCATTATCCCGTATTATTTTAATCTTTTTTTAATTGTCCAGTAGCACCGAACCCCTTAAATTATAGTTCCTCTTAGCTTTCCCCATTAGTTCAAGGTTAAGTTAAGGGAAAAGATTTCTATCTGAGGGCAGTTGAATTCTGAAGCTTTGATACTGAGCACAGCCTGTCCCAGCTGGGAGCAGTTTGTCCCAAAGTAATGGAGATTCCAGTATGTAATCTCTCCCAGCCCAGCCTGACCGCAGGGATACAGCTGTCAGATACATGATAAGGCCAGGGATGGCTGCGTCTCCCACTGCAAACACACGCAGGTCTTTCGGAAGCAGGGCCTGCCCTTGTTGCTGGAGAGCCAGTCAGGCAGGGTCCGCTGGACTCTCCCCGCACCTGGAACATGAGCCCAGTGTGGCCAGTTAGCCCCAGTACTGGAGGGAAAGCCTCTGGTCTGCCTGACATCCTGAGCACCCTGCCCTGAACATCTTGTCCCGGGATATCCAGCCGCCCTCTGCCGCTCGCACGAACATGCTTCTCCACCTCAGCTCTCAATCCGGAAGAGCAATCCGTCTCCCCTCACTGCGCGCAGTCGTGCGCGGAGACGGACCTTGCCCACAAACCGCTGGTGGGGCTGGCGTGAAGGAGGAGCCGGAGCTGGGAGTCGGGCCGCACACAGCCGGTCCCAGGCGAGAAGCCAGCCAGGCAGGCAATTGGAACGAAACGCTGGACATCAAGCTCTAACAAGGTTCATGCCTTCCGAGGTAGGGCAAGCACTGAGAGGCCACTGCCAGCTCTGATCCCGGAGACCCAGGACTTCGGCTTTGGAAGATGTCAGCATCATCGGACTGAAGAGCTTCGTGACCAGCTGGGGGGGAACAGCTCCTGGGTGGAGGAGTCTCAGCCTCTCGGGGTCTTGCTCACGAGTGGGGGTAGAGAGGATCGTGGGATTGATCAAGGGATTGGGATTGGGATTGGGATTGGGACAGTGGCTGCAGGGACTGGGATTGGGATTGGCACAGCAGATACAGGGATGCAGACTCTGTCTGATCCATGGTGGTGAAACAGGAGCTGAGCTTTCTGATGAAGCTTGCTGTTTTCAGGTTGACCTAAATTCCCACCTGCGGTCACGAGCTCTGGGTTGTGGCTGAAAGAATGACAGTGGGGTGCAAGCGAAGGAAATGAGCTTCTCCGCAGAGCTGCTGGGCTCCCTCTCCTGGAGGATCCTGGAGGATCCTGGAGGCGAGGCGCTGCTCCTCCGGATCCAGAGGAAGCAGTTGATGTGGCTCAGGCAGCTGGTGAGACACTTCCCACTGAGGGAGCACCAGGCACAGCTGCTCGCTTGGGCTTGCCTTGAGAGATACCACAACACGGAAAGGTATCTCCAGGGAAGATATCGGGTCTGTTTCATAGAGAATCTGGGGACATTCATTCTTGAATTATTGAACTTTCTTTCCTACAGGATCGCCCCCAGCAAAGAGTGTTGCTGTTGTTCTTCCAACACAAAAGCAAGGTGAAGAAGATGACAAGAGCTCAGAGCTCATCAGAGGGCTGAAAGTTTGATACAAAAAAACGGAGTTTCAAGAGTGCGGCCGCTCTCTAACTCCCCTGAGACTCACGCAGACGGTAAGTGACAGCGACAGGTCCTCTTTCACCCACGCCGGCCCTCTCCTTATCTTTCCCACTCCAGCTTTGAAACGCTAGCCGAGCTTTCCAAACGTCACTTCCAAAGAATCTGGTCTGCCAGCAGAGGCTTCCCGAGCATCTCGATCTGCCTGACGTCACTGCTGGAGTGTCTCTTGTCTTGTTTGCGCAGATTGGCCAGTGTAGGTTTGTGTTTTGACAGGTTACACAAGTTAGGTGGCCAGTAACCTGAGGTTTAGTGTTTCTTTCCATTGCTTTGCAAGACTCTCCTCTTTGAAGCTTCTTGTCTTTGAGAAACAGCAGTCAGACCTGGCTGGCGTGTGAACCGAGGGGCTGTGGGGAGGCTCCTTTGTCAAACACGCACGTCCCTGTCTCCCCGTTCTGACTGCAGACCCCTGCTGCCTTTTCTGGGGTTTCCGCTCGGCCTCATCGTCCTGCTCCCCTCCCGGCCCGCTCCTGAGCGCTGTCCTGGAGTCGGGCGAGGAGGCGCCGTGCCGTCGCTGGCGTCGTCCCTTGGGGAGCCTCGCGGCTCTTTCCGGCCCTGATCCCCGGGATGAGTAGAGAGGCTCCAAGGGCACAGTTCTCCACAGTAGAAACCAATCAAACCTCAGACCTCAAGGGCACGGGCGTCTCCATAGTGCAGCGGTGGTCTTGTGTTTGGGACGCGTGTATCCGCAAACCGGTTGCAGTTTTAACCCGTCGCAATGTGGTGGTGTGTCTGTGTGTGTGCGTGAAGGAGCGAGCGTGCGCGGCTCTGTGAGTCCCTGCAGGGATTCCCGGCTCTTCCCGCTGTTCAAACCTCCTGCAGCTTTCCCAGCTCCGAGCTCCTAACGGATCTTGACCTCCCGGTACAGTCCGAGGCCGGATTGCAACACCGCGTCGGCATCTGTGGATCTACCATCACAACATAAAGCACCCGGCCAGTGGGGACTTCCACAGGGACCAGTGTCCCAGCCGGGAGTCACCTGCCAGCGCCGCGGCAGAAGTCAGGATTGGACAGGATGGGTGAAACCTGGTGCTTCTCGCCTTTCTCACTTTCTAACCATCCCCCCACTTTCTAACCACTGTCTAGTGTGGGGCTTAGGGGCAGCTGGGGCAGCCAGGACAGTTGGAGCAGCCGAAGCAGCTGGGGCAGCCGGGGCAGCTGGAGCAGTCGGGGCAGCTGGGGCAGCCGGGGCAGTCGGGGCAGCTGGAGCCCATCCTGGTCACCCCAGGGAGTGCTAGCTCCCTGCAGACCAGCACCTCATTCCCACTCTTTGGACACCGGCCTTCTCTCAATTTCCCAGGCCAGGGCCACCACACCAGGATACCCGGGAAGTCTGGGGCCCTGGGGGGCAGTCTCCCCACCCCCATCAGGTGGCGCGAGTCAGTCGGCACTGCCACACCTGGCCTGACACCCCAGTCTGCCCCTGCCTCCTCTGCCTGGTGGCTCGACCGCGCAGCCCTGGGGGATGGCAGGCCAAGCAAGGCGCTATATGGACCGAAGGGCCGCGTCGCCCGCTCCCTCACCTGGGGTCTTGACCTCGGAGGGGTGCCCGCGGGTGCGGTGGTTGACGGCGATGATGCGGAAGGCGTACTGCGTGGCCGGGTCCAGGCCCCCCAGCTTGTGCTCGCGGACCTGCGGCTCGATCTGGCCGGCCACCGTCTCCCAGGCGCCGCCCGCGGGGGCCGGCTTGGCGCCGGAGCGCCGGGACAACCGCTGCTCCACGATGAAGCCGGTCAGGTCGCCCGAGCCCTGGGTGGCCCACTGCAGGTCGATCTCGGTGCGCTGGCGGCTGTTGTACAGGATCTTGCTGATCGTCACGTTCGGGGGGCTGGGGTACCCTGAGATCAGGAGTCAGAGTTTAACACTGAATCACTACAGTATGGCGCTGTGCATGACTATAGCATACGGTTGTGCTGTCCTGTCCCAGTGCAAGCCAGAAAACCACCTCTGTGTCTTCATGGACAAGATGGAGCTCCAGTGGTCTTAGATTAACCTTATTATACTGCTGGAATTATACAGGGGCTTTTCCGTGAGACAGAAGACACTAACTACGCTCTGCAGGGACGGAGATTGAGAAGGATTTCTGTGACGTGACTGAAACGTTAAGGGGTATTCCACTGACATAACACCCCTTAATTGCCTGTGTATCTGGATTGTGTTTCTGCAGGATGACTGCCTCTGAATTGTTTATTCAGCATGAATGAATCTGAGAATTGCGTAGTTGAGCCTTCATTGTGTTTTTGTAGTGTGGTTGTGTCTAGATTGTGTTTCTCGGTGGTCTCTGTCTGGACTGTTTCTCATTGCTTCATGTCAGGACTGTTTTTTTGGAGCTATGTGCCAGGACTTTATTTCTCAGTGCTCTGTGTTTCTCAGTGCTCTGTGCCAGGACTTTATTTCTCAGTGCTCTGTGTTTCTCGGTGCTCTGTGTCAGAACTGTGTTTCTCAGTGCTCTGTGTTTCTCAGTGCTCTGTGTCAGGACTGTGTTTCT